TTTGTATTATAATTATATTCATTCCAATCCATATAATGTAACAGAATAGTATTAATATTCTTTATAAGTACTAAGCCTACAATATGGAGACCGGGTGTGAGGGACGGAGGTTCGTCATATCTCAACGGAATATCCGAAAAATTCCCAGAAATTTTTCGAACCGCCTAGGATTTGATCGTGGGTCCCCCATAAGCGGTAGGTTCACTAGGTTGACACCGTGGCCGCTCGGCTATCCGACATTCATCTTTATAAAGGCGATTCTTATTACAAAGAACATTGGTTTTTGTAGGATTATATTGGAGTGATGGATCCTCGACATTGCGATTCTGTCGACTGATAATAATCTGCTATTTTCAATAAGAGTATCTCGTGACAAACTTATCTTGTTGCGATGGTTCCTAAACTGTTCCCTGCCGCGAGGTTTGTAATATATGTTGATGATTTAGATAAACATTAAATGTAATGTATGTTGACGATTTAAAAAAACGAAATGTAATCGAGTCGTTTATAATACATGGTGGCAGCGTAGAGGAAAATGTATCAGATCCCAGCGCCAGAAGTTTTTAATTTTCGTCCCGAAGATTGGAGAACATGGATAGGGCGTTTCGAACGATTTCGAACAGCGTCTGGGCTCCATAATAAAGAGGAAACTGACCAGGTAAATTCTTTCATATATTTAATGGGACAGAAAGCCGAAGAAATTTTGACGTCCTTTAGTCTCCCAGAAGAGGATAGAAATGACTTTTCAAAAGTTTAGGCGGCATTCGAAAAATATTTCGTCCCAACTAAAAATATTATATACGAAAGATATAAATTCTATTCTCGGTTTCAAGAAGAAGGAGAAACAGTGGAGAATTTCGTGACTTCATTATATAGTCTGGTTAAAACGTGTGATTTCCCTGCTTCGTTTCAAGACTAAATGATTAGGGATAGAATAGTTCGGGGCATTAGAGACAAAAAGGTTTCGGAACGTTTGCAACTTGAAACTTAACTAACTTTGGAGAAAGCAATAAACACTGCGAGACAGGCTGAAACAGTGAAAAAGCAACAAGAAGCTTTTAAGAACAATTCCGGGAATAACATATATGCATTACGCAAAACTGCAGGTAGGAAGAACGTATTTTCGAAGCCGGAAGCTACCGACAATTCGTTTACTGGAAACAAAACTTTAAATTCCTGTTATTGGTGTGGTAAATCGGTGAAACATACTAAATTCAATTGTCCTGCTCGTAAGGCGATCTGTAATAAGTGCAAAAAGTAGGTCATACGCAAAGGTCTGTAAAGCTAAAGGGAGTATAAATGAAATAGGAAAGCCTAATCAAAGTTCATTTCTAGGACACGTTAAAGGGTCAAGTAATATAAACAATAGCGTTAAGAAACAGCTTAACCAGTGGAATGCGAACATTTTCGTGGGAGACATTCCTTCAAACTTCAAGATAGATACGGGCAGATGTCACAGTTATACCACACGAGACATATAACAGAGTGCTATCTAGTGTTAAATTACGAGAAACGAATAGATCTATATACGGCCCTGGTAAAAAAAAACTCTGGATGTTGTGGGAGTGTTTACGGAAAAGCTAAGAAATAAGAGATTCGGCATCCAAGAAGACATATATGTTATAGATAAACTAGAACACTCCTTGTTGAGCGGTAAAGCGAGTGAACAGTTAAATCTTGTGAAAAGAATACAGGAACTAAACTCTACTTTCGATCCATTTAAAGAATTCCCCAATCTATTTCAGGGGATTGGGAAAGTACAGAAACCCTATCACATTAAACTTAAACCGGAAGCAAAGCCTTACGCTCTGGCAGTTCCTCGAAAAGTACCATTGCCCTTGAGAGATAAGCTCAAGAAAACTCTGGACGAGATGGTAAATAAGGGAATAATCGAGGCAGTAGACGAACCTGCAGAATGGTGTGCTCCAATGGTTTTGGTTCCGAAGAAATCAGGCGAAATAAGAATTTGCGTCGATCTATCTAAATTGAATGAGAACATTGAGAGAGAATACTTTCCAATGGCGTCGGTCGACTATACACTCAGCCAATTTCATAACGCAAAAATCTTTAGTATTATTGATGCTAATGCAGGGTTTTGGCAGATTGCATTGGATCCTGAATCATCTTACTTGACAACATTTATAACACCCTTTGGGAGGTTCAGATTTAAACGGTTGCCGTTTGGAATTAAGTCGGCGCCTGAAATATTTCAGAAAAGAATACGTGAAACAATACCAGAGGGCCCTGGAATTGTAGGACTAATGGATGAATTCGTGATATTTGGGGCCACAGAAGAAGAACATGATAAACGTCTGCATAAAGTTCTTCGTACACTTCAAAATGCAGGGTGGACTTTAAATGCTGAAAAATGTCTGTTCAGAACGAAAGAAGTCAAGTTTCTCGGACATGTAATCTCGCATGAAGGTATAAAACCTGATCCCAAGAAAACAGAAGCAATAGCAAAGCTCCCAAGACCTAGCTCTGTCACAGAGCTGAAAAGATTTTTGGGCATGAGTGGATTCCTAAACAAATTCATACCAAGGATGGCTGATGTTGCAAACCCTCTGTACGAACTGCTAAAGAGCAACGTAGAATGGTTATGGGGGCCAGCACAGGAAACATCGTTCCAAGAGATCAAGAATCAGCTATGTCAAACTCCAGGATTATCAATGTATGATCCAAAGAAAGAAACATATATTTCCTGTGACGCATCATCTTACGGTCTTGGGGCTGTGTTGTATCAGAGTAAAAATGGTCACATGTCTCCAATTTGCTACGCATCTAGGACATTGTCGGATACCGAGAAACGGTATGCGCAAATTGAGAAGGAGGCTTTGGCAATTGTTTGGGCTTGCGAGAGATTCCACGACTACATAATGGGCAAAGTCGTGAATATTGAAACGGACCACAAACCGCTGATACCAATTTTCATGTCGAAGGCTTTGGACAGTCTTACTCCAAGACTGCAACGAATGAAGCTACGAATGATGAGATACGATTATAGCATCGTGTACAAACAGGGAAAGCAGCTTATAATTGCAGATGCATTATCCCGTAGCCCCATACCCGAACAGGGAAATGAAGAATTGACCGAGGAGATTGAGGCTTACGTTCAAAATATTATCGACACATTTCCTGCATCTGATAAACGGTTATCGGAAATCGTGTATTTACAAGAGAGAGATCCAATTTGCAAAACGTTGATGAGATATTGCGAAGAGGGTTGGCCGAAGAAAAACGAAATACCCGAGAAAATACGAAGATATTGGGAGCACAGAAACTCAATTACTCTCCAAAATAACATTTTATTTAAAGATTCCAGGATTATAATTCCAGAAAAGCTTCAAGGAGAAATATTGAACAGGTTACACGAAGGCCATCTTGGAATAACAAAGTGTCGAGCCCGAGCTCGAGAGTCTGTTTGGTGGCCAGGCTTATCGGCGAACATTGAGAAATTGATTGCGAACTGCTCAATATGCATCCAATACCAAAAGTATCATAAAGAGCCTCTTATCCCAAGCGAATTTCCTGAGAGACCTTGGCAAATTGTAGGGGTAGATCTTCTAAAACTAAAAAGCCATTGGTATCTCATAATGGCTGACTAATTTTCAATATATTTTGAAGTTGCCAGATTGGAGGAATTGTCGTCGTCGTCAGTATTTAACCACATGAAATCAATTTTCGCAAGACATGGAATTCCAGAGGTTGTACGAAGTGACAATGGCACCCAATTTTCCCAGGTTGTCAACACGGAATACCGTAAATTTGCAGATAAGTATAAATTTTCAAGTATAACTTCTAGTCCAAGATACCCTCAAAGCAATGGATTCATTGAATCAACGGTCAAAAATTTCAAAAGTCATTACTTGAAATCTAAGTCACAGGATCATTATTTGATGCTTCTAGCAATTAGATCTACACCATTAGAAAATGGCTATAGTCCGGCAGAACTGCTAATGAGCCGAAGATTGAGAACACCCCTGCCATCAAATAATTAACAATTAATACCTCGTTTGATTGATTACGCTTCAGTAAGAAAGAAGGAAAAGGGGTAGGCAGATAAACAGAAAACCTATTTTGATCGACGCTACGGTGTAAAAACTCTTCCACGTTTTAAGATAAGACAGCCAGTCTGGGTGTCAGATATGCGAACATGTCAGATATGCGAAAGGTGATGGAGTCTTACCATACTCCACGATCTAACATTATCGAAACTCCGAGAGACACGTTTCGCAGAAACAGAATACATTTACACCCATCGTCTATTCACCAGACAGTCTCCCAGGAAGACGAACCGCAGATCATCGATGAAAAGAAATCGACAGGATCATCCAACCAGAATACTCCCGAGGAAGAAACTCCCAGGTCGGAAAATGGAACAGGATCCGGGAATAGGGAACTTTATGAACCAGCGCTAGAAATCAAACAAAACTCTCCACCGTATGAAGAGGACCTTCCTAAAACTTGTAGTGGAAGACCTATACGAATCCCAAAACGGTATCTGTATTACCAGCAGTAAAAGAAAAGGGGGAGATGTAATATATGTTGATGATTTACATAAACATTAAATGTAATGTATGTTGACGATTTAAACAAACGAAATGTAATCGAGTAGGTGCCGAGGTGGCGGGACAGAAAGGGAGGAGAGTAGCTCGAAGAAATCAGCTGGATGTAGAAGGTTTAGTTGTATTAATAAAGATTTGTTCGTACCATATTATCTGGTCAGTTGATTCGTTTATAATACAAGGTTCGCCATTGAATTCGAATTATTTTTAATAAACATTCTAGTCTAAGCCCTTCAAAAATTATATATAGATAAATATATATATTTCCTAACATATATACTGTATATGGTATATTAGGAAGGCTCCTCCAAATGGTAGCAGAATAAGGGAGTCGCGAGTCACAAAAGTTTGGGAACCATCGCCTTATTGAAACAAGACTAAAAAAAAACACTTTTTTTCCTATAACAATGACTCCAAATGTGTATTTCTAATGTGTTATGAAGTGGAATTGATGGCGATCTTTTTCTTGTTCCAAAAACCACGAATGGAATCAGCCACACTCAGGATTACCGGTAACAGAATCATAGCGTTAAAAAGGGCAAAAATCATAACCAAGGAGATTACCTTGGAAAATACGACGAACGTATAAGAAGGTCCAAATACGAAAACTACTACACACAGTATTGTCGACAGACATCCCTGCACTATGGGGTACCCCACTGCGTACAGCGAAACTCTAATCTTTTTTTCGGGAGATTCGTCTAGACAACAATTGTAAGCGTATGCCACGTGAGACGAAAAGTCGATGCAAATTCCCGCACTCATCGTTAAAAGCATGACCGATATCATGTCCAAGTTAACTTTCCAAGGAATCATGAATCCTACGGATTCCACCATGATACACACCAAATTCAACATGACACAAAGAGCGTAAGAAATATTCTGTATCAACGCTAGGAATATCAGACACACCACGCCCATGGCAACCCCTATGTTTTGCAGAAAGAGGGTGGGCATATTCAAGTGTTGTTCGTAAATGACGAAGAAAGCATTGTATGCAAATACTCGATACTTGCTAAGATCTGCGGTCGCACGCAAATTTTCCAACATAATTTTTTCGTCGTTTCCACTTCTGACTCCTTTTGACGTCACAAAACATCTGGAAGCAACGATTTGGTTTCGCTCGCTGTTCCACGCAATGTCTTTCCGGAAATAAGAGAATGGTTTAAGTCGCAAAAATACTAGTTTCAGTCCTTCTACGAATCCTCGAGAATCGCTGGTGTTAAAATCTTTTATCAAGTAGTTTATTTTCTTATCGCGAATGAAAGAAAGATATTTCCTTATCCAACACATTGTGAGGTTGCTTCCACTAATGTAAGGAGAGCTCTCGAACGTTCGTAAAATGTTCTCTACTTCTTCTTGTACGTTAGAATTAGAATAATCAAGAGACTGATTAAAAACGACTTGTATCGAGTGAGGATAGTCTGTGAAATATCGGTAATGAACTTTAAAGAACTTCGTGATGTATTAGGAAGACGGTAACGCGTCCAGTACTTCTATTCCTTCTTTCATGTGTTTCATATTGTAAATGCTTCCGGCAACACCACACGCAAATATTATCACTACCAAAATTTTTATTACTTTCTTACCGAGAAGTGTTCCCAACCGTTCGGAGAGGAATTTCATGGCACCATCACTATTATTCGATCGCGCCCTGTCTGTTTCGGTTTCAAATTGTTCATTTTCTGAAAATAAAACAAATACGAATAATTATTGACATGATTGGAATAATTTATCATAGAAAAGATTTCTTATAAATAAGTTGCGAGTTTCCTCCTATGTATTACTATTTACAGTCAAGTTTGATTTTCGCTTTGATATTCCATGGGCATTTTAGAAGTTAGTACGATGTTGGCCTCGCTGAATCATTACCACATCATTCAAAATGGTCGTTAGACGAGTTTACCGCATCTAGGTCTCATTTATTATGGAGATGTCACTTTAACCTTTGATTTTGTATTTTAGCTTTTATTGGGCGTGTTTGTTTTAATACGGAACGTAATCTCACGCTGTACGGCATTACAAATAAAACTGATTAATAAATATTTCGAAAAGTAGACAACGTGTCACTGACATTGAAATCCGGATTGTTTGTGGTAGATTTAAGACGGCAGTTTGACGGAATCTACCGGATTGATATTTTTTGAACACAATCACGGACTAGTCTGAATGCAAAGAAGATATTAACTCACCGACGTCTTTTCGTTTGACAGGATAACAGAGAAGGGCATTAAGACGATGTTTTTCTCTGTAACCGTCGAGTGCCAAAAGAGCTCCGAAGAAGAAGATTTGGTAGATGAAGTCCATCAAGATAGACAGACAGCTGTAAATGCAGGCGATACGAACAACTCTGTAAGACGATGCGATTCCTATACAGAAGCAAGACAAGTTGGTCAAGGAAGTGATGGTGATGGACACTCCCGCTTCCGAAAAAGTTTGGCTCGTTCGCTCTTTCACGCTGTTTTCTTCGTTTGTTCGTCTCCAAGCGGCCAACAGGACGAAGGAATCGTCTAAGCCGATGCCTATAAAAATCAGTAAGTGTGAATTTCTAAAATAATTTTAACGACAGAAACAATGTCAATATACCTAAAGTTCAAAACTTGTATAGGTTTCTCAGGAAACTTGTTTTTCACAAGAGAAACGGTGTTTACGCAATTGACATTTATAACCAATAAAATGTTTTAATTGTTGCGTTTCGTATTATTTAATTAAAAGTTTAAAATACAAACGGAATTGATAGTGTCTTGATTTTTTTCAAAGTTCGAAAAAGAATGGAATTGATGACATTCAACAAACACTCGTACCAGGGAAGTAATATTCAATTCATCAATAGGCTGAAAATGTTCGTTTAGTTTTAATAAATTATCTCAGCAGTTTAAGATGTATTTGAAGTGGGTATTGAAGACACCGAGAATACTTCAGATTTTCATAGGCTTTAATGAAAAATTAAAATTAAACTTTAATAATAAATAACGATATTTATTTAGTAAGTATAAGACAAGAGGCAGAGAACATTGAAATAAAATGACATAACTCCGGTTGTTAAAAACTATTCTATAAAAGTATAAAATTATATAATATTTATACAGTGGTACCTCGGTATACGTCTGCTTTAGAATACGTCCAATTCGGAATACGTCCTGTTTGGACGAAACAAATTTTGCTCGGTATACGACTTAATTCACTTATACGCGCCATCTATGAAGAAGTAGCACTATCGGTGTACTAGATCATACTATACAGTGGACGGATGGCCGAGCGGTCAAGGTGGCAGCCTACCGCTCTGGGGGACCCGGGTTCGAATCCGAACGGTTCGAAATTTCCCCCGGAATCTTTCGGGGGTGGTCCGCTCGGATATGTCGGGCCCCATCCCTCACCACCCGGCAGCCCCATTGTGGGCCTGGTCGAACCGATAATGGGGTTGCAAAAATAACCCATAATGGGCTTGCAAAAAGTGGCCCTCTTAGTGCCCACAGGGCGAAAAGAGTTTAAAAAAATCAGACTAGACGTTCACGGTGCCACAGTTTATAACTTTGTTAAATTTTTTTCTGATTTTAATTTGCAAGTAAAATTTTATTATTTTTATTAATCATGAAATGAGAAGCAACAGAAAACTAAAAAAATGACTAGAATCACAATGGAACTGAAAAAAGAGATTGTTGAGAAATATGAAGGTGGCACGCGTGTTCGAGATTTTAACTGTTGCATATTGCATTCGGAGAACGACGATATCGACAATCGTAAAAAATAAAAACATTATTAAATCTGCTATCGTTGCGAAAAGGGTTAAATCAATTTCTAAACAGAGATCGAAGATATTAGATCATGTTGAGAAAATGCTTTTGCTTTGGATAACTGAAAAAGTGTGCTGGAGACATCGTATCAAAAGCAATTATATGCAAGAAAGCTAAAAAGATACACACTGATCTCACGAAAAATCAAGCAGGAACTAGCTAGGAAAGCGAGGTGTTTCAAGCCAGCCACTTTTTTTTTACATGAGAATGGATTAATCATTTTTACATTACTTCTTATGGGAAAGGTTGGTTTGGTATACGTCCTATTCGGTATAAGTCCAAACATCAGGAACGGATTAAGGTCGTATACCGAGGTTCCACTGTATTATTATTGACGATTTGTGAAATTCCATACACAAGATGTGCAATTTTATAACAATGTTCAGTGTTAAACGTTTTACAAAACTGTAAAATGTATCTAAGGTACATAGATTGAAATCACAACGAAAAGGGGGAGAATATCTCGAATTGCATCGGATGAGATGTAAAAGAGTTTAGCCCAACGAAAGATATTGCAAGTTTACACGTCTGAATATTACTCTACATGGCAAAACATTAACGTTTTTGTTCCTGTGGCAATACAGGGTCTTTTAGTATGCCCGTTACGGGTTTGGCCCCGGCTCACAATGAGTCCGGATATATTGGGCGATGAGGGACTGGCCCGGCACATCACGACCGAAAATCTCTGGGGGAGTCTTTTCTGGTCGTCCGGTTTCGATCCTCCATAGCGATAGGCTGCCACTTTCCGGACGTTGTTATTCGCGTGCTGCCAGATATTTTTACGTTTGTAGCATTGATTTAAGGGTGTATTGAAAATGTTCTATCGATGTATAAAACGTTACTCACCAGTCACGAGGAAAGCCACAACGATGTTGGTATCGAAGTATTCTATTCCGCAGTGTAGTAGCAAACCAAAAGCCGCTGCGGTGGCCAAGGTGGGACTGCAGAGTCCGGCTATCCCCACCCACGGTTTACTGCCGATGGAGTCGAACGTCGCACAACTTACCATCGAAAAGAGAATCATTACGGCGACGGCAATAAACAAGAGTTTCAGGCTCAGTTCTGTGTTTCTGGAGGATTGGACGTCCATCCCGCGATAGGTGAAGAGGTCAACGTCGACGTGGTCAAAATTTACTCGGGTCAAGACACGGCGGAATGCTTCGTCCCATTTTAAAGCCATCCGAATTTTTTCATCCGTTCCGTAATCCATGAAGTAAAGGAGGCGAACGGCTCTAAAATCGAGCACGAACCCGCTTCCGTTGATCGACACCCCTCCTAAACCGAGGATGGGGGATGTGGCTCCGAAATTGCTTTTTTCTATCGGATACCTTTAATAAGAAAATCGTAATCGTTAGTCGGGTTATTTCTACAGATTTACGTTATTCTTACGCCAATCTTATGTTATACAGGTAACCCCCGTAAACACGGCACTTCTATAGCACGGATTCACTCTGACACGGTTCGAAAATTGGGTAAAACCCTCGTACAACATGAAATGTAATAAATTTTTATACACTTAAGAAATAATAGTTCACGAAAATAATAATTTTCGTGAACTATTAATACTAAAGTATGTAAATTTTATTTTTATTTGTCCATACAGATGGTCCTTCTCGAAACTTGTTTTAGAGTTGCCAGATCTCGACGCTTCTGCTTCTGTTGTTGCCAGATGTTTTTCCCTTATTCCATACTTGCTTTATTTTTCATAAGTGCTTAGCACCATATAACAAAATTTATAAAGATATTTTAACTAAAAGCAAGCAATCTAAAATTACATACACTTTTTGCAAAAGGTAAAGAATGAATCTGAAAATAATGCAGAAAAATGCTCAGAGGATAACGATAACTTGCCAAAAATAAAACGCTCTCGGTTAATAGTGCTTTTAGTGATGACGAAGAAAATATTTTAAATTTATATTGCTTAAGAAAATTTTAATAAAGATATTTATCTTAATTACGAAAATATAATAGCATGTTTTTTAATTTTTGGAACCTAATCCTCCTTTTCGTATTAGTTCTTTGTTTCGTATAACACGGATTCGCATAACACGGCAATTTTTTGGAACGTAACTGCCGTGTTATACGAGGGTTACCTGTACTTAAGAATTAATTTCGATTCATACCGCTATAACCTGGCCGGTAGCAGGCTATTCACGGCACTCGACCCACAGTTTTTAATAAAGGTATTTGCACCCACCGACGTCATCTTTGGGAACAGAGTATTGCCCATTGTCTGTCCATTCCTGGTCACTCACGTGCTTCTTGCCCGAACAGCCAGAAATAATAACGTCATTCGAAATAAGAAAATGCAGTTCCGTCACTCTACATTCTACTGCTGGTTGTTCCTGTTGATAATTTTCATCGTTCATTTAAATACGTATACTGCGTAAGATGACGAGAAGTTTGTCGAAATTGCTTGGCTAACAATTTCTACTCAAATTACTTGTTAAAATGACGTATTAAATGCATACTACGTAACTGATATATGCACGTATTTAACGATTACATGTAGTTTCAGTAGTCTCGTGGGATCGGCAATTGTTAACCGGACCATTTTTTAAACGAGAAGATAATTTCAATATTACAACAGATCTTCAATATAGGTACTATAATTCTACTTTTTACCTATCTTACATAATATAAGTGTTTGCTGTTTCATTGTATACAATCCGTTACAAAAATATTGAGCCGCTGATACCTGTATCTGTAACTCAGTTTACTCTCCCGCCTTTTGTATATAACAGAGGGTACAAAAGTACTAGTATATCGATCGACTAGGAAATGACACGCCGAAATGTTTACATTTTTGGAGTCAGGGTGCTTTAAAACGTCGTGAAATGCAAAATTGGAGGTTTTTCCTCGTGAGTACGGTATGTTTGTGTATGGGGAGGAATAATTTTGTTTATCCATTTTGCGGCTTTAATAACTCATGTGAGTTTTTTCGAAAATTTCTAAAATTCTGCAGCGAAATTGATGCTATTAAATTTTGGTAGTTAAAGGTCGAGTGGGTCGTGTAGCCTATCTCCAGTGAGGTCGGGCTTAATAAAAATTTTACTTGTTATTAGCATTTACAACCTGTTACAAAACTCATTTCCCCTCTCAAATTAAACTTTTTATTTTATAATAAGTGTTGAAAGGGTCGAGGTCATCCCGTCGTCTGCCAATCACCCGATCTCTTTCCCACAGACTGAGAATAAGGAAACAGAAACCACGATATTTAATTTAACCTATTTCGGTTAAAATAAATTAAATTAAATTTCTTGTTTTTCATTGGAAATAACTTCTATTACTTATTTTCCAGAAGAAAATAAGTGATAAAAATGTTTAATAGATTTACATTTAAATTATTTGGACTCGCCCATACATACGAGGCCTTGCACAAATTTAAAAATACATTTCTTTCAATAATAAACTTATTAACTATTAATTACATATTTATTTTACCAACAAATATTGTATTTATAAATCTGTAAAAGATTAATCTAATTTCAGAAAAAAGTTTTAATTTTATCAACAGAAGTATGAGGCTCAATTTCTTTCGTATGAAACNACGCCTGAAATATTTCAGAAACGAATACGTGAAACAATACAAGAGGACCCTGGAATTGTAGGACTAATGGATGAATTCGTGATATTTGGAGCCACAGAAAAAGAACATGATAAACGTCTGCATGAAGTTCTTCGTATACTTCAAAGTGCAGGATGGACTTTGAATGCTGAAAAATGTCAGTTCAGAACGAAAGAAGTCAAGTTTGTCTGACATGTAATCTCGCATGAAGGTATAAAACCTGATCCCAAGAAAACAGAAGCAATAGCGCAGCTCCCAAGACCTAGCTCTGTCACAGAGCTGAAAAGATTTTTGGGCATGAGTGGATTATTAAACAAATTCATACCAAGGATGGCTGACGTTGCAAACTCTCTGTACGAACTGTTAAAGAGCAACGTAGAATGGTTATGGGGGCCAGCACAGGAAACATCGTTCCAAGAGATCAAGAATCAGCTATGTCAAACTCCAGGATTATCGATGTATGATCCAAAGAAAGAAACATATATTTCCTGTGACGCATCATCTTACGGTCTTGGGGCTGTGTTGTATCAGAGTAAAAGTGGTCACATGTCTACAATTTGCTACGCATCTAGGACATTGTCAGATACCGAAAACGGTACGCGCAAATTGAGAAGGAGGATTTGGCAATTGTTTGGGCTTGCGAGAGGTTCCACGACTACATAATGGGCAAAGTCGTGAATATTGAAACAGACCACAAACCGCTGATACCAATTTTCATGTCGAAGGCTTTGGACAGTCTAACACCAAGACTGCAACGGATGAAGCTACGAATGATGAGATACGATGATATCATCGCGTACAAACAGGGAAAGCAGCTTATAATTGCAGATGCATTATCCCGTAGCCCCATACCCGAACAGGGAAATGAAGAATTGACCGAGGAGATTAACGCTTATATTCAAATTATTATCGACACCTTTCCAGCATCTGATAAACGGTTATCGGAAATCGTGTATTTACAAGAAAGAGATCCAATTTGCAAAACGTTGATGAGATACTGCGAAGAAGGTTGGCCGAAGAAAAACGAAATACCCGAGAAAATACGAAGATATTGGGAGCACAAAAACTCAATTACTCTCCAAAGTAAGATTCTATTTAAAGATGCCAGGATTATAATTCCAGAAAAGCTTCAAGGAGAAACACTGAACATGTTACATGAAGGCCATCTTGGAATAACAGTGTCGAGCCCGAGCTCGAAAGTCTGTTTGGTGGCCAAGCTTATCGGAGAACATTGAGAAATTGATATCGAACTGCTCAAAATGCATCCAATACCAAGAATATCATAAAGAGCCTCTTATCCCAAGCGAATTTCCTGAGAGACCTTGGCGAATTGTAGGGGTAGATCTTCTAAAACTAAAAAGCCATTGGTATCTCATAATGGCTGACTAATTTTCAATATATTTTGAAGTTGCCAGATTGGAGGAATTGTCGTCGTCGTCAGTAATTAACCACATGAAATCAATTTTCGCAAGACATGGAATTCCAGAGGTTGTACGAAGTGACAATGGCACCCAATTTTCCCAGGTTGTCAACACGGAATACCGTAAATTTGCAGATAAGTATAAATTTTCAAGTATAACTTCTAGTCCAAGATACCCTCAAAGCAATGGATTCATTGAATCAACGGTCAAAAATTTCAAAAGTCATTACTTGAAATCTAAGTCACAGGATCATTATTTGATGCTTCTAGCAATTAGATCTACACCATTAGAAAATGGCTATAGTCCGGCAGAACTGCTAATGAGCCGAAGATTGAGAACACCCCTGCCATCAAATAATTAACAATTAATACCTCGTTTGATTGATTACGCTTCAGTAAGAAAGAAGGAAAAGGGGTAGGCAGATAAACAGAAAACCTATTTTGATCGACGCTACGGTGTAAAAACTCTTCCACGTTTTAAGATAAGACAGCCAGTCTGGGTGTCAGATATGCGAACATGTCAGATATGCGAAAGGTGATGGAGTCTTACCATACTCCACGATCTAACATTATCGAAACTCCGAGAGACACGTTTCGCAGAAACAGAATACATTTACACCCATCGTCTATTCACCAGACAGTCTCCCAGGAAGACGAACCGCAGATCATCGATGAAAAGAAATCGACAGGATCATCCAACCAGAATACTCCCGAGGAAGAAACTCCCAGGTCGGAAAATGGAACAGGATCCGGGAATAGGGAACTTTATGAACCAGCGCTAGAAATCAAACAAAACTCTCCACCGTATGAAGAGGACCTTCCTAAAACTTGTAGTGGAAGACCTATACGAATCCCAAAACGGAATCTGTATTACCAGCAGTAAAAGAAAAGGGGGAGATGTAATATATGTTGATGATTTACATAAACATTAAATGTAATGTATGTTGACGATTTAAACAAACGAAATGTAATCGAGTAGGTGCCGAGGTGGCGGGACAGAAAGGGAGGAGAGTAGCTCGAAGAAATCAGCTGGATGTAGAAGGTTTAGTTGTATTAATAAAGATTTGTTCGTACCATATTATCTGGTCAGTTGATTCGTTTATAATACAAGGTTCGCCATTGAATTCGAATTATTTTTAATAAACATTCTAGTCTAAGCCCTTCAAAAATTATATATAGATAAATATATATATTTCCTAACATATATACTGTATATGGTATA